GTGCGCTCACTCTCTTCTTCGTGCACCCCGCCGGCAGTACATCCCGATCGCCCACGCGTGCCTCTGAACCGCCCCTTGCGCCCCCTTCCTCCATCCACCACCATCTGCCAATGAATGCGTACTTACCTACACAAGCGAGATACTGATCCATCATGGATAATGCCGAACACCTGCCTCCGGCGTCATCCTGCACCCTCTCTCCTCCCCCTGCACTTCTCCCTGTATGTACGTGTTCACCGGTCGTCGGAATGACTCTGACATCAATGCGAAGGGGGACATGATACATGCCTTCCCACCTTGGATAACTGTGCGTATCCTCTCCTTCCCCATAGTACCAGCCGTGACTGACCGCCAAGTTGGGAACGAACCCTGCACTTCTAGCTGGAAGCCAAGGTGTGTGCTCCCTCTCATCACATCCCGCTCTGACACGTTTCCCAGGAACGAATATCCACTAAATTCACCTCTCGCTATCATGAATGCTCGGTGTATGTGTGCTGCAGTGAACAGGACTATAAATCGGTCTTATCATAGTCCTCATCGAGGTTCTCTCAGAGGTTCTTATCGCAGGCTCTGTATTGCTGGTGCGCCACTTGCGTCTCCTGCCGTCCCCTCTCACATCACACTGACTGCGAGTTAATTCACCTCTTTTCGCTTAGATATGTTCTCTGGATGTTTCTGCCTCACTCCCATCTCAGGAGTCGATGCCGCCAACGCTCAGCACTGGGTCCTCCGTCGCGTGCCCTCCGCACCCCATCCAGTTGCAAGAACCTCTCAAGCATGGCACACCGCCTGTCTGGAATCGATGCGCCCACTGTGTACGTATCCTAAGTTCTCCTTCGTCGTCAGCATCACCATGAATTTCATCCAGAGGAGCACATGACGCCTGCCGATTCCCTCCTTCAGCATTGTACGTAGTCTTTCCTGCCCTATAACGCACGTTGTGATCGATTGCCAGGTTACGAATCCACCGCGCACTCTCTTCTATGTGCACCTCGTCCGCAGTGTACTCTTGTCGACCTTCACAAGCGTTCGCCTCGTCCTCTTCCACAAGCGTCGCCGACCACTCCGCATGCTCGCCTCTCACAAATGCTGCGGCGCACCGTACCAACGGATTACGTCGTTCTGCTCTCTCCTCTACGACTTTCCCCCGCGGACTCAGTCACACTCCCAACCTCTCGCTTGCCTTTACCACCAGGCTCTCCGCAAGTATTCCCTACCTACGGCGTATCCGATCAATCAGTCATATCCTCTATCCGTCATAGAATCCGCTGTCGGAAACACCTGAAGACATATACCTGCTGTCAACCATCACTAGCACTACCGTGCCCTTTCTTCCGCGAACCCATCGTCTTGTAAGAACCTCTTCTCAAGCGTACTGTGCCGACAGTCGAGCTTTCGTCCCTTGTGCTCAGATGACAACGGTACGCCAATGTCATCAATTTCGCTTTCAAGTCTCTAACTTTGGTTCAGACCTACATGTAGTAACGCCCCGCTATGTCGCAAAGTGCGCCTGATGATTATCTGGCCCAGGTCGGCGGTTGATCGTGCCCAACCTGCACGTCGGACTTTGGTTCTTATACCCACCAGCTCTCGCACTATGGTGTGTGGCTCTCTCCCCTTACTGCTCAATAACATTCAACCCTGCTTGTACCATGTGTAAGCTATCGCCGTTGTCTCTCTTTTCGCACTTGATCATTGCACACGTTCCTGTCAACCACCACGGAGTATACCGCCCATCAGTGCATAGGTTTATGCATATTCTCCCTGCTAATCCCTCGCAGATCTTGTCATCATCGTCTATGGCGGACAATATGGGAGAAGCACTTGCTGCGTATCTTGGTTGCGGGAAGTGTCTCGAACAATGGACCTGCTTTCCCCTCTTGGAACATTTCGCTTCATGTGGTTCCAGGGCGGCTGTCAGGGAATAGCCCCTCATCACCTCGCTCTGTACGCCTTCTTCCCCTGGTCCTGTCTTCAACGTACTCACCACGTGTATCTGTTCGTCATCGGGTTACAGAAGCGGTCCGCGTCGGAATCCTCATGAGCAGCACATTCATCTGCTGTTCCGCCGGTAATGATCAGATGTGAGCTGAGGTGAGTCTTGGATCGATCAGGCGTCAGGAAGTATGCTCTCTGACGGTAATGATCATGGGTATGTCTCGCTCCCTAACACCCTTGTTCTCGTTTACTAACTTCTCCCGGGCTTAGCTGTTCTCAAGTCAT